AATTTAATATATTTACTCTTGTTAATAAATTAATTTAATATATTTACTCTTGTTAATAAATTAATTTAATATATTTATATAGGCACATCAAATCCAGTATTCTCACCTTTCCTGTATGGCTCGCAACTACCTAGCAATTTTCACAACCTCTGTTGCTTCTAAATGTTTCTTTTCTGCTAGTAGAAATATGATCGCTAAAAACAGATGTAATTGGCACCTAAAACTGTGAAGGCAGCACAATGTCTGTAATCATAGATGCAAAGACTATTGAATAGAAGAATTTGAAGCTATGGTTTTTTTTTTTTAAAAAAAAGTATATATTATATTACTTATACTTTAATAAAAATAGTATAAGTTTTTACTGGCCTATAAAATAAGATTCTATTACATTTATTTTTATCTGATCTAATAAGTGCTAAATTAAAGTTTGATATATTTTATATACAATCATACTCTCATATAATCACATCATCAGGAGCTACAAAAAGTGTTCTTATAAAACATAGAATTTATTTTTATATATTTAATAGTAGTTGGATCAACAAATAAATGTGTTTATAATAGGTAATGTGCTTATAATATGCTTATATAGGAGATGCTTATATAGAAGTGCAACTGTATTTATTTTAAATTTTAATTTTATAGCACTCATATAAGATTTTTGTTAACTAAATAGCCATTTGGGATTAGATTTGAAGAGCTATTTAGTTAGTAAAAATCTTACATATTATCTTTAATTGATAATCTGCCTATGAACTAGAGAATAGGCGAAATGAGACGTCTGCCATTTAAAACTTTTTTTCTTACTAAATTAATGACACATAGCTATTAATTGAAATTGTAGAGCTCGTCGAGACGCATCTAATGGTGGTTAGATCATTCAAATCGGCCCAGTGGATGGAGAGATATTGTTGAAATACGATTGGCTGACTATATAAAAATCCATGCCGGAAATTACATATGAAAATCACCATTGGTGAAACGTGGCGTGCTCCCATCTAAAACTTTTTTCTTACTAAGTTAACGACACATGCCCATTAATTGAAAATTGTAGAGCTCATCGAGACGCATCTAACGGTGGTTAAATCATCCAAATCGGCCCAGTGGATAGCGAGATATCGTCAAAACGATTGGCGGACTATATAAAATCTCTATGTAAACAATATTTGTTTACATAGAGATTTTATATAGTCGGCCAATCGTTTTTTGACGATATCTCGCCATCCACTGGGCCGATTTGGATGATTTAACCACCATTAGATGCGTCTCGACGAGCTCTACAATTTTCAATTAATGGGCATGTGTCATTAACTTAGTAAGAAAAAAGGTTTAGATGGGAGCACGCCACGTTTCGCCAATGGTGATTTTCATATGTAATTTCTGTTACAGATTTTTATATAGTCGGCCAATCATATTTCAATGACATATCACCATCCACTGGGCCGATTTGGATGATCTAACCACCGTTAGATGCGTCTCTACGAGCTCTACAATTTTCAATTAATGGCCATGTGTCGTTAACTTAGTAAGAAAAAAGTTTTAAATAGCAGACGTCTCATTTTGCCTATTCTCCAGTTCATAGGCGGATTATCAATTAAGTAAATTTTATATTATAAATATTCGAACCCAAAAATGTTTGTAAACTTCAAACTGAATTAAACTTGCTTAAAATGTTCAGAATCGAACTCGAACCCAAATATAGTTTTATAAAAGTTCAGATTTAGGTTTAGTTTGAAAAGAGAACTGAACCCAAACTTATCTAAAAGTTCAGTTCAGTTTAGTTCATCAGATTACTATGTAGCCTTCTAGTATAGTCAATGCCTTAACCAGTGCAGTAGACCACATTTAGACACCCAATAGGGCCGTTGAATAATGTTGAATCTATAATTTAGATAGTTTAAATATATGTATATATATGCTTTGATTTAATAAAAATACTGGTGAGACTACCAATATGGAAAAAAATAAAATAAATTAGTCTTATAAATTTTCTTTATAGTATTCTATATATTTTTAATATAGATGATTATTTAGCATTAGTACATTTATATCAGAATTGATAGTAGTAATTAAGGAATCCATATATTGCAAAATATTTTGTATTAAATTTTTATCATCTTTAATTTTGTTTAATTTAGAATTTGGAGCATCATCTCTAATTTCAAATCCATGAATATGTGTATTATCCTGGTACTGCTACTCAAAGCAGAACTACTAAACTATTAAATTTCTTTTAAAACTAAGATATTTTCAAAAAACACATCAAATCATTTATTAAAAAATTATACAGCTATATGTGAATTATTAATTAGATCATAGTATTGATATTTAGCAGCCTTTTTGTTACTTTTACCATCTACTAGATTTTCACTATTTGGCATAAGAACATGTAATTTAGGTTATTGTAAGTTAGCTGAACTAAAGGTAAAAAATATTAACTCTTAAGCTCCTAACTTGTATATTAGATCTGATAATTCACAACTTTGTCATACCTAATATTGACAAATATCACATAATATTTTATTATATTATATTACATGATTTACTATATTAATATTATATTGCAATAACTTTTGAATCTATTTAGCTGTGAGTTAATTATATTCTAAGTTTTACTTAACATATACCTGCTCACATTATAATATTCACTATTGTATTAATGAATTTAAAGCAAAATAACATCAATATAGATGATGCACAAAGCAGCCATCTTTATATTTCAAGAGATATTAAAAATACTCAGCTAGCTGAACTTTTTTGATTTTGAATGAATGTAAATTAGCAATACTATAAGAATAAAGTGCAAAGAAAGCATATATTATATATTTTGGAGTATTAAATTTATTAATTAGAGTATATTTGATATCAGCCTATTCAATTACTGAATGCTGATATTTATTTTATAAGTTACTCAGAGCCTTATTTGTCTTTATATATATAGGAGTTGGAATAGAAACAAAGATATATAAAATTACATTATCTTCATAATCTATATTGTTTTTATATAATTCTTTTTAATCGTTTAAATTATTATTATTTGATATCTGTGGAAATTGTTCAATTATTAAAGTATATTCTCATTAATTATTGTGATAAAAGAAATTATTAATATTCAACCAATAGAAAGCATGATATACTTTATCTTGTTGAACTTGAAAATTTTGAAATTTTAATCTATTAAAAGATGACTATCTTACAATAAGCATATTTAATAATAAAAAATAATATAAAAGGCAAGTTATAAAGCTTTGTATATCTTTTTAATATACATACTATCCTCAACAAAGATTATAAACTGATGTTACAAGAAAAACCTGTACAATCAACATCTCATTAATATTAGAATGATTTTGAAGCTCTTGAAATATATCATCTAAATTAAGTTTATAAATAGCTTGTTTTATTTTTTTTATTTTATTTAGTAGAATTTATATAAATTGATTTGGATTTATATTATTTTCAATTGAAAAATTTTTTGGAGCCTTTCTTTATAATATTATTGGTATTTACTTTAATAAAAAATTATAAAGGGAAAATGTTTTTCACAAATCGAGCAATACTTATTTCTAGTTTTTGTTATTATTTTATGAAAAGTATTTAAAAGTTTTTTATCAGATTCTGAAAGTTCTAATTCATAGTTATTCTCAATATGAGTTTCTTGTTCTTCAATTATTTTAACATTCTTTTTCTTGTATTTTCAGTTATGATTATATATAAGATGTTCTTTTTATTCCTTGACAGTTTTTGTATTTATTTTCTTTTGCCTTTTATTGCATTTATATTTAATATACATTTCTTGCTCTTCAATAGTTTCTGCATCTCTTTTTTTCTATTGGCTGCAACTATATACAAGGCATATATCTTGCTCTTCAGTTGTTTCTATATCTCTCTTTTTTTCTATTAATTGTATCTATATTTAAGATATAGTTCTTGCTCCTCAGCAGTTTCTGAATCTTCTCTTATTCATTTTGAATTTCGATTATATTTATTTTAATCATTTATATTAGCAGTTTTGATGTTTATTTTAAGAGCAAAAATTAGCAACTATTTGTACTTGTATTATTATCAATTATTGCATTCTAGTAGAGTAATTTATTGGGAAAGTAGGTTTTATTGAAATATATATTTTTTTATTTTTATTTTATACAAAACAGATCACTAACATTATTACTTTTTTTTTTTTTTTTTTAATATTGGTAGCCTCGCCAGTATCTTTATTAGATCAAAGCATATATATACACATATATTTAAACTATCTAAATTACAGATTCGACATCATTCAGCTGCCCTATTGGGTGCCCAAATGCAGTCTACCTCACCGGTTAAGGCATTGCTCATATTGGAGGGCTGCACCAAGCTAGCCAGCGAAGCCATAATAAAATGGCCTCAATTTAAAAAAATTTTTATCAAGATTCCACCAA